TAAAACTAATTCACAAGATCTATGTGCTTTTTTATTAACACAGTAGTATTATCTTAGCAACAGGTCTAATAACTGTCATAATTATTAAGCACTGATGAGTATAAACATTTTGGGATATCTTCAACAAAAACAGTATGATATGCAAATATCTATCATTTCTCTTGGTACCTCTAATAATATTGCAGTTTGTTGTCAACCGTCATAATTGCAAGAAAAGCTAAATTTCACTTTGGAATTAAAGAAAATAGCAATGTAATGATTTTTTTCATCCAAATTTACAGGATCCAGGTTAAAAACTTTAAGCTTCTGGTATCATGAGATCAGGAATTCACTGACTCATTCCATTCAGTTCACAAACTGTCAACCAAGAACAAGTAGATTTGTTTTGTTTCACTGTAGTGTTTCTTTAAAAAAAGTAATTAGTTACCAAACTAATGTGATTTCACATAAAAATTTATACTTCTGGCTTTTTGGGAAAAAAATATATGCAGTCAGCCCGAGCAACACCGGGATGGCATCCAAGGCAATGTTCAATCAGGCTGAGTAGCAGCTGCCTATTTACATATGGTGTGAGCTCTCCAGTCTTCACGGCCACATAAGGCTTGCCTCGCTCATGTGTTACCTACTTGGCTCCTGCAGCCACCTCTTTTTTCGTTTTGTTTTCATTGGGATTTTGTTTTTGTGTGTAGTCACATCTCATAGATGGCATTTTCCATCTCATGAGAACCCTCTGGCTGGCTGGCAATTAGGAGAAATTTGTTTTCTAATAAAGGGAGCGAATTCTCTCTGCATAGCCACTGTCATCCCCATCAAATCTCCAGTTGTCTCCTCTCAGCTACTGACACACTAAGGCCCATTAGAAGCTGCCTGTTTTGTAAATAAAGTTTTATTGAAACACAACTATGCTTATTTATTTATATATAATCTTTAGCTGCCACTATGAACTGTGTCCCCCCCAAATTAATATAAATATATGTAATATAAATACATATATACATATATTATATCCCAATATGATGCTATTTAAAGAAAGGGTTTGGGGAGATAATTAGGATTAGATGAGGTAATGAGAGTCCTCACAATAAAATCAGTGTCTCTGTAAGAAGAGGCACTGCAGAGATCGCTCCTCTCTCTCTCTCTTTCTCTCTGTACCGTGTGAGGGCACAGAGAGAAGACAGATGTCTCCAAACCTGAAAGAAAAGAGCCCTTTTTGGGGAACCAAAGTGGCCAACACCTTGATCTTGGACTTCTTAACCAACCTCCAGAAGTGGGAGAAATGAATTCCTGTTGTTTAAGCCACCCACTGCATGTCCTTAATAATGGCAGCCCAAGTTAAGACAGCTAATATCACAGTTCAATGGCAGTCAAGGAGTTAAGACAGAAACTGTATGGCTCTCAAATTCTAAAATAACTACTATCTGGTCTTTGCCAGAAAAAGTTTGCCAACCCCTGCTCTAACTGTTGGATGAAATTACCAGTTACAGGTCTAGAAGTTTTATATAGAGGGACTTAAGGATGGTTAGTGGGAGCTGTATTTATACAACATTAATAAATTTATATTTATACAATTTATATATATTATTTTAATGGAGATGGAGGCAGACAGCTAAAGCACTATCTCACTCCTTCCTACTGTAGCCAGAGAACTACACACTCTACGAGACTCTCCACTGAGCCACAGCATGTGC